GGGTTCAGGCAATTCTCCTGCCTCAGCCTCCTGAGTAGCTGGGATTACAGGCATGCACCACCATGCCCAGCTAATTTTTTGTATTTTTAGTAGAGACGGGGTTTCACCATGTTGACCAGGATGGTCTTGATCTCTTGACCTCGTGATCCACCCACCTTGGCCTCCCAAAGTGCTGGGATTACAGGCTTGAGCCACCGCGCCCGGCCAAGTAGTAGATACTTGAACCCATATGTTGAATCACTGTGCATATACAAACACAGAATGATTCAAGTGTGTCGTGTTGGTGACTAAGAAACACCATAAGCTAGAATAACTAAAATTTCTGAACAAAACAAAATACATTCTCCTCTAGAGTTAGATACAGTTGCCTTTCTGGAAATTTCAGTGCATATTAAAACTGTCAAAAGTACTTTGTTTTATATATGGAATTAGGTTCTAGGTCATAGGACGTTTTTAATTAACTTGAATGTCTGGTGGGACATATGAAGGTTGCACAGAACGCATAAAGTCAGTTTTTTGTTAGAATGTATTGAGCTTGCAGGATATTGAGAATCCCTGGTTTAGGGGCCTGCAGAATGCCAGTGGTGCTCTCTAGTCATTGTGGCAACAAAAAGGTACCTCCTTAGATTTCCAGATGTCTCCCTACGGGGGAATTGAGTACTATTAGGTTATATAATATAATTGATACAATGGAATGTTATTATCCATTAGAAAAAACAAGGAAGGCCAATGTGTCTTGTCATGAAAAGATGTCTACAATATATTGTCAAGTGCAAAAGCAGGCTACAAAACATCATGTATAATATTCCACTTCATTTTTCATTTTTCTTTTTTTTTTTGAGATGGAGTTTCACTCTTGTCACCCAGGCTAAAGTGCAGTGGCGTGATCTTTGCTCACTGCAACCTCCACCTCCTGGCTACTTTTTATTATTTTTGGTAGAGGCAGGGTCTCACCGTATTGCCCAGGGTGGTCTTGAACTCCTAAGCTCAAGCAGTCCTCCTGCCTCTGCCTCCCAAAGTGTTGGGATTACAGGGGTGACCAACTGAGCCCAGCCTCCACTTAATGTTGAATATATGTACTACATTATTTAGAAGAAAGAAGGAAAAATATTTTCAAAATGTTGTGGATGACATACTTTATAGTTTTATTGTCTGGAATGCTAAGAACTATAAATTGGATTACTTTTACAAAGTAATTGCTTTCCTTTTTTTTTTTTTTTCCGATAGGGTCTTGCTTTGTTACCCAGGCTGGCTGGAGTAGTGCAGTGGTGTGCTCATGGCTCACTGCAGCCTCGACCTCCTCAGCTCAAGTGATCCTTCTACCTTAGGCCTCTGTGTAACCACCAAGCGTGCACTACTGCACCTGGCTAATTTTTTGTGTGTGTTTTGTAGAGACAGGGTTTCGCTATGTTGCCCAGGCTGGTCTCAAACTTCTGAGCTCAAGTGTTCTGCCCACCTTGTTTTCCCAGAGTGCTGGAATTACATGCATGAGCCACCATGCCCCCGCCCAGTAATTGCGTCTTGACATAAGGATTTAAAATTCATCCCCCACCACCACCCACCACCACCACCACCAAAAAAAAAAAAAAAAAAAGTATCACTTTGTGCCTGTAATCCTAGCACTTTGGGTGGCTAAGGTGGGTGGATTGCTTGAATCCAGGAGTTCAAGACCAGCCTGGGCAACATGGCAAAACCCCCTCTCTACTAAAAATAACAAAATTTAGCTGGGCATAGTGCACGTGCATGTAATGCTTGGGAGGCTGAGGCATGAGAATTGCCTGAACCTGGGAGGCTGAGATTTCAGTGAGCCGAGATCAAGCCATTGCACTACAGCCTGGGTAACCAGAGTAAAACACTTATCTCAAAAAAAAAAATTGACCACCTTGGTCAGTGGCTTATGCCTTTTTTCTTAATAGGATAGCTGGAGGAAAGACAGAAGCAAGCTTCTATCATTAACAGGAAGTGAGAAAGAGGATAACTTGGTAGAAGTTGGCATCTGTCACTTAATATACAACAATTTTTGGTTGAGCACAATGGCTCACTCCTGTAATCACAGTACTTTGGGAGGCTGAGGCAGGAGGATCACTTGAGGCTGGGAGTTTGAGACTAGCCTGAGCAATGTAGCAAGATTTGTTTGTCTGTATTAAAATTTAAAATGGGGAGAAGTGGAGTAGCTGCTGTTTCATATATTGAATTTGAAGCTGCTGCCAGGAGCACATTTGTTTCTTTTGTTATTTTCTTTTCTTTTTTTTGAGATGGAGTTTTACTCTTGTCACCCAGGCTGGAGTGCAGTGGTGCAATCTCGGCTCACTGCAACCTCTGCCTCCTGGGTTCAAACTTTTCCCCTGCCTCAGTCTCCTGAGTAGCTGGGATTACAGGTACCTACCACCACACCTGGCTAATTTTTGTATTTTTAGTAGGGATGGTGTTTTGCCATGTTGCTCAGGCTAGTCTTGAACTCCTGAGCTCAAGTGAGCCACCCGCTTCAGCCCCCAAAGTGCTGGGATTACAGTTTTGAGCCACCATGCTCGCCCTCTGTATCTTCTTAAAAACAATGAAGAGAACAGTGATCATCACTTGGAAGAGGGAAAGGTGCCTTGAACAATGTTTCTTGGACTTCAGAGAGGCAAATATGCTAACAATGTGAAAAATCCTGTCCCAGGCTAAACAAAGCAAATTCCTTCATCTATCTTCAAAGTGTTTCTTCTCTTAGATTCTTGTGACTGATCATAGAGAACAATTTTGCTAGGTTGCTGTCACTCTAGCGGCCGAGTTTGGGGCAACCAGGGACACATATACCTGCATTTTTATAGTTCTTGAGAGTTTGAATTGTACTCCTTGTCTTAATATTTTGGAGACATACCACTGTCATTAGAAGTAGAAGATCTGCTGTGTTATGTACTTACCATGGGAGAAAGAGAGGACACTTCCTGGGTTTAAATTCCAATTCAGAGCCAGGCATAGTGGCCTAAGCCTATAATCCACCACTTTGGGGAGCTGAGGCAGGAGGACTTCTTAAGACCAGTGTGGGCCACAGTCCTTGTCTCTACAAAAATTAAAAATTTAGCTAGGCGCAGTGGTGCACATCTGTAGTCCAGCTACTTGGGAGGCTGAGGTGGGAGGATCACCTGAACCTGGGGAGATTGAAGCCACAGTGAGCCATGATAATGCCACTACACTCCAGCTTGGGCAACTGTGAAGACCCTGTCTCAAGAAAAAAAAAATTCCAACTCAAATATAAAGTAGTATATTCCAAGACATGGATTTAGAGAAGTTTTCTGATTGAGTGTGGTGGCTCATACCTGCAATCCCAACACTTTGGGAAGCAGAGGCAGCTTGAATTCCTGGGATCGCTTGAGCCTGGGAATTTGAGACCAGCCTAGGCAACATAGTGAAACCCTGTCTCTACAGGAAATAAATTAAAAAAAAAAAAAAAAAATTACCCAGGTGTGGTGGCTTGTGCCTGTAGTCCCTGCTACTTAGAAGGCTGAGGTGGGGGGGCTCACTTGAGCCTTGGAGAGTGAGGCTACATTGAAGCATGATCGTGCCACCACACTTTAGCCCAGGTGACAGTGAGACTCTATCTGAAAAAAAAAAAAAAAAAAAAAGGAGTTTTATTTTTAGCTGCAACTTTTTATTATGAAAAATTTAAAACTTAAAAGAACAGTACAGTGATGATGATAATGATTTATTTATTTATTTTTTGGCGATGGAGTCTTGCTCTGTTGCCCAGGCTGGAGTGCAGTGGTGTGATCTCAGCTCATTGCAACATCCACCTCCTAGGTTTAAGCAATTCTGACTCACCCTCCCAAGTAGCTGGAACTATAGGTGCATGCTATCATGCCTGGCTAATTTTTTTGTATTTTTAGTAGATATGGGGTTTTACCGTATTGCTCAGTCTGGTCTCGAACTCCTGAGCTCAGGCAGTCCCCCCACTTCGGCCTCCCAAAGTGCTAGGATTACAGGCGTGAGCCACTGCACCTGGCCAATTATTATTATTATTGTTTTTTGAGACAGGGTCCAGCTCTGTCGCCCAGGCTGGAGTGCAGTGGTGCGATCTCGGCTCATTGCAACCTCCGCCTCCTAGGTTCAAGTGATTCTTGTGCCTCAACTTCCCGAGTAGCTGGAATTATAGGCGTGCACCACCATCCCTAGCTAATTTTTGTATTTTTAGTAGAGACAGGGCTTTGCCATGTTGGCGAGGCTGGTCTCAAACTCCTGACCTCAAGTGATCCACCTGCCTCGGCTTCCCAAAGTGCTGGGATTACAGGGTGAGCTACCATGACCAGCCTACAGTGATTATTTATATGCCTGCTACCTAGACTCAGCAATTGTTAACATTTTATCAGATTTTCTTTATATGTATGTGTAGGTATGTGTACATTTTATGATCCTGGAAAAATAAGTTTGGAATTTTATGAAACTTCCAGTTAAAAATATGTTCATGACTGGGCATAGTAGCTCATATCTGTACTCCCAGATCTTTGAGAGGCCAAGGCAGGAACATTCTTTGAACCCAGGGTTCAAGACCAGCCTGGGCAACATGGTCAGACCTCGTATCTACAAAAAAATAAAAAATCAACCAGGTGTGGTGGCATGTGCCTGTGGTCCTAACTGCTTGGGGAACTGAGGCAGGAGGATCTCTGGAGCCCAGGAGTTCCAGGTTACAGTGGGCTATTGTCAAGCCACGGCACTCCAGCCTGGGTGACAGAGCAAGACCCTGTCTCTAAAAATAAATAAATGAACAAACGTATATTTGTAAATTTCTCTGCAGGGTCCATATCTACTTAAATGTTGTGTGAAAAGGAACAACGCTGCACTGAAGTTAAAAGGAGCATAATTTTTGCTTTTTTCAAAATTTGAAATGAGCTCACCTTGTCTCCATGAAGTTTTCAACTCAGCTAACTACTTGTATGGTCATTTGGGGATTTTCACCTTTTTGCACTTAGGCTTAACCATAAGGTGTTTTGAAACGTGTATTTGTTTTCTTTTTGTTTTAGATGATCCCTCTGATAAGCCACCTTGCCGAGGCTGCTCCTCCTACCTCATGGAGCCTTATATCAAGTGTGCTGAATGTGGGCCACCTCCTTTTTTCCTCTGCTTGCAGGTAACTCACTAATGCTAGCCTCTCCTAGCCTGGTTTTATGCTATTTTTTATGATGTAATATTTCAGAGATTACTGTCGACTGCTAAGGAGATCTATACCTTATTAAATCTATTCCTTCCAATCTTTCATTGTATATTTTACCAGTGAAAAGTTGAGAAACAGAGCAGTTAGATGAGATAGACTGTTGATGATTCCACATCTGTGTTTAAACCTAATACTTGGCTGGGCGCAGTGGCTCATGCCTGTAGTCCCAGCACTTCGGGAGACTGAGGCGGGCAGATCACCTGAGGTCAAGAGTTCAAGACCTGCCTGGCCAACATGGTGAAACCCCATCTCTACAAAAATACAAAAAATTTCAGCCAAGCGGATGCCTGCAATCCTAGCTACTCAGGAGGCTGAAGCAGGAGAATCGCTTGAACCTAGGAGGTTGCAGTGAGCTGAGATCGCACCATTGTACTCCAGTCTGGGCAACAGAGCAAGACACTATATCAAAAAAAAAAAAAAAAAAAAAAAAGAAGGCTGAGTACAGTGACTCACACCTGTAATCCCAGCACTTTGCGAGGCCGAGGCGAGCAGTTCACCTGAGGTCAAGAGTTCAAGACCAGCCTAACCAACATGGAGAAACCCTGTCTCTACTAAAAAATGCAAAAATTAGCTGGGCATGGTGGCGCATGCCTGTAATCAAGCTACTTGGAAGGCTGAGGCAGGAGAATCACTTGAACTTGGGAGGCGGAGGTTGCAGTAGGACGAGATTGCACCATTGCACTCCAACCTGGGCAACAAGATTGAAACTTTGTCTTAAAAAAAAAAAAAAAAAAAACCTGATACTTAACCCGTTGTTTTGTTTTGTTTTGTTTTGTTTTGTTTCTGAAATGGAGTCTTGCTCTGTCACCCAGGCTGGAGTGCAGTGATGCAATCTCAGCTCACTGCAACTTCTATCTCCTGGGTTCAAGTGATTCTTCTGCTTGCCTCTCAAGTAGCTGCACTTACAGGTGCATGCCATCACACCCAGCTAATTTTTCATATTTTTGGTAGCGATGGGGTTTCACCATGTTGGCCAGGCTGGTCTTGAACTCCTGACCTCAAGTAATCCGTTTGCCTCCGCCTCCCAAAGTGCTGGGATTATAGGTGTGAGCCACCATGCCTGGCCATAACACTGCTTTGTAAGTAAATTTAAAGTGTTGAAATTACAGGAAACAGAACTGGAAGATTATTCCTTTTGATGACACTGTTTATTGTCTTGTTGAACACTGATCTCTGTACAGATGACAAAGGAAGAAACAATTTTTGTAGATGATAATGGTAGTAATAATACCAATTATAAGTACTTTATATGAATTAACCTTTAAACCATTACTATAATCCTATGAAGTACCTATGATTAGTATTCCCATTTTATAGATGAAGAAATTTAGGCTAAGAGAGGTTAAGTAACTTGTTCAAGGTCACATGGCAAATACCATATTTTATCAGCTCTAAGACACTATTGATTATTGATTATCAGAAGTTCCTCAATTTCAGAAATGTTAAAATGTAAAAATGGCTGATGAAAGTTGTGATTACTTTTGATTATAAGATGAATCTTGATTTCAGAGTTTTTTTTTTTTTTTTTTGACACAGGGTTTCACTGTGTTGCCTAAGCTAGAGTGCAGTGGCACGATCATGGCTCAGTGCCACTGCTATCTTCTCCCAGGCTCAAAAAATCCTTCCACCTCAGCTTCCCAAGTATCTGGGACTACATGTTTGTGCCACCATGCCCAGCTAATTTTTTTTTTTTTTTCTTTGAAGAGACAAGGTCTCACCATGTTTGCCCAGGCTGGTCTGGAACTCTTGAGCTCGAGCAGTCCTACAACCTCAGCCTCCTAGAGTGTAAGGATTTTAGGCATGAGTCTACTTCAGAGACTTTTGATTTTTCATTAAAAAAAGTTAAAGAATGATTTTTAGAGATGTAGTGTTTCTCTGCTGCTCAGGCTGGAGTGCAGTGGTGTAATCATAGCTCACTGCAGCCTCAAACTCCTGGGCTCAACAATCCTCCTGCCGTAGCCTTCCCTGAGTAGCTAGGACTACGGGCACAAGCCATAATACCCAGCCCAGAGTTTAAAATATGAAAAAATATTTATCTTAGAATGGCTGAAAGACAGTTACAGAGCCAGGATTCAAATTTAGGCTGTGTGATTCCAGGGCATACGCTCTTCTCAAAGAGATGTCTTAGGAAAAAGTCTGTTTTTCAGACTTGTTTTTTCTCTGTGAGGACTGCTGATAAGCTGTGATCATGATTCTACCTTTCAATTGCAGCTGCAGACAAGATTAAATTAATCCTTAAAAACTTGTCAAGAAGTGGTGTGGTAGTCCACACCTGTAATCCCAGCACTTTGGGAGACTGAGATACAAGGATCCCTTGAGCCCAGGAGTTCAAGGCTGCAGTGAGCTATGATGGTGCCACTACACTTTAGCTTGGGTGACAGAGTGAGACCCTGTTTCCAAAAATAAAATTTAAAAAACCCAAACTTGTCAGAAGAATAACACAAAGTACCTTCTGTCTTTTAAGAAAGTAGCTTTTGCTAACTTAGTTTTTCTTTCTTTGCAGTGTTTCACTCGAGGGTTTGAGTACAAGAAACATCAAAGCGATCATACTTATGAAATAATGGTAATGATGAAGTTGCTGGGAATTTCTGTTCATTTTTTTCAAGTATTAGGCTGGGAAGTAGTTTCGCTTTTCTTTTTTCTTTTAAGGGCTCTTGAACTTCAGGGAATTGGTTTTCTTCATCTTTATCTTTACCTTTTCTCTTTTTCTGAAATAGGTAATTATTATCCAATAAGTTTTTTAGGGTTTTGTGGATCTATCAAGGTATTTGAACACAAAAATAGTTTTATATACTCAGCTTTTTGTTTCAAATTTTAAGTATTCAAAGGAAATACTTTTGATAGGAGGATAACAGGTATGCTGCCTTTTAGGCTCATTGATAAACGTAGGCAATGTGTTGTTACTGTGTGCTAATGGTATTTTTATGTGGTTCATGTGGACTGTGGTGCTAATGTTGAGCAATTTGTTCCCTTGCCTTGGGGAAATCAGTTATCTCTCAGAGTTAAGTTATAAAGTGAATACAGCAAATGAGTTAATACATAAAATCACTGATGAGGCAGACAGGTTTATAAGCCAGAATGAGACTTGGCTATAGATTAATTATACTGCCACCTTTAAAGAAGGAATGAGTGTTCGTAGTGTCTTTCCAAGTGGGTGGTTTAATAGGCCAAAGTGAATATCTAGTCTGCTTGACAGGTATATATGCCTTTGTCAAGATAGTTTTGTTAGCCAGGTGCGGTAGCTCACGCCTGTAATCCCAGCACTTCTGGAGGCTGAGTTGGATGGATCACTTGAGGTCAGGAGTTTGAGACCAGCCTGGCCAATATATGGTGAAACCCTGTCACTACTAAAATACAAAAATAGCCAGGTGTGGTGATGTGTGCCTGTAGTTCCAGCTACCTGGGTGTCTGAGGCAAGAGAATCACTTGAACCCGGGAGGCAGAGATTGCAGTGAGCCAAGATTGTGCCACTGCACTCCAGCCTGGGTGACAGAGTGAGACTTCGTCTCAAAAGAAAAAAGAAAAGATCATTTTGTTAGTTATCAGAGCATATTAAGCATATAACAATCTCCTCCTGCAGTTTTCTGACATTTGGCCTCCATGCAGTTTTTCTTATAGAAAAGGATGCTGGCAGGCTTGACGGTTAAAATTTCATATAATAGATTAATCTATATTAGTTTTCTATTGATGCTGTAACAAATTACCCAAAATTTGATGTCTTAAGACAACACAAATTTGTCTCACAGTTCTGTGGGTCAGAAGATCATCAGGCTCAGCTGGTTTGCTGCAGGTTCCATAAGGCTGATATGAAAATGTTGGCCAGCCTGGGCTCTCACCTGGAGGCCTTGGGGGAGAATCCACTTTTAGGTTCTTTCAGGTTGTCGTCAGAATTCACTGCCTTAAGGTTTTAGGAATGAGACCACTATTTTGGCCAGGGCATGTTCTCCGCTTCCACAGGCTGTCTGCATTCCCTGGTTCCTGGCCCCTTTCTTCTTTCTCAAAGCTAGGAGCACAGGAAGTCCTTGAGATTGTTGATGAAATCACGGAATCTCTGTGACCTTTCCTATTGCCTTGTCTTTCCTGTTCTGAATCATTGTGAGTGATTCTTCTGCTTTCTTCTTCTACTTTGAGACAGGATCTCACTCTATTATCCAGGCTAAAGAGCAGTGGCATTATCACAGCTCACTGTAACCTCGACCTCCCAGGCTTAAGCTATCCTCCTCCCTCAGCAACCTGACTAGCTGGGACTATAGGCACAAGCCACCATGCCTGGCTAATTTTTAATTTTTTTTTTGTAGAGACGGGGCTCTCTGTGTTACCCAGGCTGGTCTTGAACTCCTGGGCTCAAGCAATCCTCCCACCTCAACCCTCAACCTCCCAAAGTGCTGGGATTATAGGTGTGAGCCACCACAGCAGGCCTTTAACTATGTTTAAGGCCTCATGTGGATTACATTGGGCCCATCTGGGTAATCCAGGATAATCTCTCTACTTTAAGGTCAACTGATTAGTAACCTTTATTCCATCTGTAAAGTCCTTTCCCAGCGCTACCTGGCTAGTGTTTAATGGAATAATCAGAAAACAGGAATCTTAGGATGAGGGGAACATCTTTATTTTTATTTATTTATTAAAAAAACATAGATAGGGTTTCTTCATGTTACCCAGGCTGGTCTTGAACACTTGGGCTCAAGTGATCTTCCCACCTTGGCCTCCCAAAGTGCTGGAATTATAGACATGAGCCACCATACCCAGCCAGGGAACATCTTTAGAATTGGGCCTCTTACAGAACTGTAGTATATTTATTTCCGTCTCTTAAAAGTTTAGAAAGGGTGACTCAGCATCTCTGAGCCTGGTTATTGGTGAGGTCCTATTAAAATGTGTTTCTGGGCTTATAATATTCAGGGTCAGATTCTAGGCCACAATCAATTAATCAAAGAACTAGTTAGAGTTTTTGGGAGCCAACTAGTTAGCCGCGTTCTATCCATCTCTAAACAACTTCAGTCTTTTAACTAATGGCTTCAGTAATTGTAAGACTTGGAATAATTTTTTCCCCCTTTAATTACAAAAATGAAGGGTTAGACTGTTTAAAGTGGATTTAATTTAATTTTACCAAGGTTATCAGATCTTCAGAAAGCTGGTTTATTTTTCTCAAATTAATACAAGAATACCTAGAGCTAGAATACAAATTCATTCATTCACATTGTGAAATAATTACTTAAGGGATAATTCAGTATAACTTGGGTAGGTTGGTAGTCATGCTTATTCACTGTAGGAAAGCTGACCATGAGCTTTCTTTAGCTATTCTGGGCATTGTGTCTTCTGCATAATGCTGAAAGTACTGACTAAGTTTCACTCCAAATCCACTTAGTTCTGATTACATCATCCTTTTCTCACATATTCAACACCCATACAATCACATTTCAGAGTACTGTCCTTTAATTTGGGGAGCTTTTGGGGTTACTAATACTTCCTTTTTGTGGCTAACTTTATTTATTCCCAGTGACTGTTTCTTTCTATAGGAATGATGACCAGATTTTAGCTTTCTACACAAAACTAGATTTTTTTTGCATATGAAGCCTCAGATAACTTTAAATGTTTTTCAGTACTTTTGTCATGTCACAGTGCTGTATTTTTGGGAGTTACTCATTCTGTGGTAGGTGGTGCGTTAACCAGGATTTTCTGAGTTCTATACCTATTTTTGTCTTGTAATTCTTAGAACCTTGAACAAGTCAAGGCAGCTGTTTCTGCCACACCCTTTTATACCAGTGATTCTTAAACTTTAGTACCTAAGAATCGCCTGGGAGCTTCTTTTTTTTTGAGACGGAGTTTTACTCTTGTTGCCCAGGCTGGAGTGCAATGGTGCAATCTCAGCTCACTGCAACCTCCACCTCCCAGGTTCAAGCAATTTTCCTACCTCAGCCTCCCCAGTAGCTGGGATTACAGGCATGCATCACCACACTCAGCTAATTTTTTTGTATTTTTAGTAGAGACGGTTTCACCATCTTGGGCAGGCTGGTCTCGAATTCCTGACCTCAGGTGATCCACCTGCCTCGGCTTCCAAAGTGCTGGGATTACAGGTGAGAGCCACTTGGCCCAGCCGGGAGCTTCTTATAAATGTAGATTTCTAGGCTCTGCTGTGAGAGATTGTGGTTCAGAAGGGCTGAGGTTTGGTCCAGGAGTAAATCTCAATATTAATCAAACTTTATGTAAAACTGCCTTGTGCCTTTTTCATTCTCATACCATGTCTGTGGTGTAGAAAGTTTTTATTGTTTATCTCACAGTAAAGTTATTTGAGGAGCAATTAACATTCTAGAATACAGTTTTACAAATAACATTCTCTTCAACTGATGTGTGAGTTGTCATTTACATGTCTTTTGTACTTGCTGGATTGAGAATGATTATGAATTTAGTATAGACATAGACTCTGAAATTTCTTTCTTGGATTTTATAATACCTCATGTGCTAGACATATTCATAGTACGTGCTTAGATGAAAATGTGTTGCTTATTGGTAGCATAATTTCACAAATCATAACAAATTTTTTGTCATTAACAAAAGGTATAACAAGTTCTAAGTGCCTGTGTAATCTGAAGACCTTTTGTGTCATTTTTTTTACTTGTTATAGAAAACTTCAGGTATACACAAGAGAGAATGATATTTGGTTATCTATTGCTATATAACAGCTATCTCAAAACCTCATCCTTAAAAGTAATCATTTTATTATCTCCCACAGTTTTGTGGGTCAGGCATTCAGATTAGGCACAGTGAGGGTGGCTCTTGGTTCCACATGATGTACTCAGGCTGAAAGTCCCAAGAGGCATTTAATATAGACACTGCAGTTTCTCTCTTGGATCTCATAATACCTCATGTGCTAAGCATATTCATAGTATGTGCTTAAATGAAAATGTGGTCACCATTGTAACCAACTATCACATAGTGGTAATAAATTTCCGTTTACCCATCACTAGCTCTTAAAATTATTGACTCATGGCCAATCTTACTTCATCTAAACCATAACCTTTCTAGATTATTTTGAAGCAAATACCCTAGACAGTATTTCATCTTTGTTTCATTAGGTCTCTAAGTAAATCTAGTCACTTTTTGCATTCCTCCAGTCATTTCATAAAGGCTTAATATCTAAAACCCCTGCTGCCCTTTTCACCCTGAAACAGTCACTGTTCTGATTTTTTTTTTTTTTTTGAGATGGAATTTTGCTCTTGTTGCCCAGGCTGGAATGCAATGGCGTGATCTCAGCTCACCACAACCTCTGCCTCACAGTGATTCTTCTGTCTCAGCCTCCTGAGAGGCTGGGATTAAAGGTGTCTGCCATTACACCTGGCTAATTTTTGGTATTTTTAGTAGAGATGGGATTTTACCATGTTGGCTAGGCTGGTCTCGAACTCCTGACCTCAAGTGATCTGGCCGCCTCGGCCTCCCAAAGTGCTGGGATTACAGGCGTGAGCCACCACGCCTGGCCTGATTTTTTTTTTTTTTTTTTTTTTAATCAGCATAGATTAGTTTTGCATGTTCTAGAACTGCATATAAATGGAATCATACTGTATGTAT